TGACTGACAGGCTGGTTTATCCATGTTTAGTTCAGCTTTGCTCAGTAATAGAGACATGACCATTAAATAGAGGTAGAGAGATAAACACTGGTAGGCAGGTAGTTATTATTATTATTGTTATTATGATTATTATTATCATTGTGATCATACCAACCATCCATCTATTTATCTTTCTGCCACTTATCCAGTACTGGGCCGCAGAGGCCTGTTCCACAGACCACCAGGCGGGGGGTGTGCTCTGGGCTGGATTCCAGTCCATGGCCTGGTGCACAAACACACACAACCTTGTCTGTCGATATAGAGAGGGCAATTCACAAAATCATTTGCTATTTGGTTGCGGCAGAGACCCCTGCAAACACATGCTAACTCCACACACAGAGCGAGGCGGTCTTCATCGCCGCTATCCTCATCATCATCATCGCCGTCGCTTTTATTAAACGAAGGTGAATTGGCCGAACGCGGAGCCTGGTGCCTGGGCGGCACGTGGAGGCTGGCTGGGCATTGCGGGCTACTCACAGTGGGATAAAACACAATTCTGCGGGGTCAGGTCAGCCCCTCTATTACGATGTCGGCTGGCTGCCTATGGCGCTCGCCCGTCGGCCAGAATGGCTTGTTATTTCCTAGCCTTTGGCACCGGCTCTCAGTACTGAGCAGATCCCCAGTAATGAATGAACCCTAAGCAAAATCGCAGGGTGGAAATGCATTTCCTCACACTTATTAGTTAAGGCCCTGCCCCCTATGCAGACGGGGGGGGGGGGGCAGGTAAAGATTGTCTGCTTATTCAATACATAGTGCATCACTGAGAATTTTATTTAGACTTCACCAGCCTCATATAATACCTCAAATTTTCAATATATCTGAATTTTAATGGTATTGCTTTTAATATATACGCTTCAGTAAAAGCAATATATCTCACTGCACCTTCTTTCAATCAAATATTGATCCTCTTCCAAAATTGCCTTCACTTCCCTTGAAAAATATCACCTGAAAGATATGTGATAGATGCCGAGGCCTCATGCCGGCCTGTAGCATTTAGCGACAGCTGCTAAAAATAACGTGGGTTGGGAATGAGCTGATGAATAAATCAGAACTGGTCATGGGACGACGTGGATCCGTTGGACCTCGAAAGCCATCTGTCAGCACCTCTGATTGGCAGTGTAGTTATGGAGGATGAGGCTGGCTTGGATTTCCCTTAGTACTGGATTTCCATCTTAAATAGCAGGATGTAGACATTGGGGTAGCATTCAAAGAACTGGAATCGTGAGCAGAAGATGTTTCCGGAAAGTTCCTGACGTTGTACATTTCAGCAGAGTACTTAACCTCCGACTGGAGGAATGCAGAAACGGGGAAGGTCTGCGAGTCTCTGTGGCTGGAAGTGCTCGAGATGCAGTCAAGGTAACCGAATTCACGAGGCTGATTACCCCCACCCTCCCCAGAGGAGCGGGGGAGCATGTCGGCACATCTTGGACCCTGATGTTCTCCTCTTGAGTGGGTTTGAGGGGGGTGGGGCACCGTCCGTGTCTCATTCCAATGTTCTCATTAGACTTAATTGAATTTCTCGAAAGAAGCATTTGGAGGATCGTGACTCTGGCGGCTTGCAGAGCAGGGGGCTCGCAGTGGAGAGCGTCTTAATGTGCCCAGCACACTTGGTTAGCATGGGCTCCATCGGATAGATGGAGCGGAGAGGCACTGTGTTGTTTCTTTCTGTAGGATCTCTCCGTCTTTGTGAATCCTGCCAGCGTGACAGCGCCGCCCCTAGTCAGCTCATCAGCGTATGACCTTTCCCTACTCTCCGAAACATCACTGAACCCGTTTCCAAACAACACCTCTGGTTATTCTTCGCCTCATGGGCTGTTTAAGTCCGCTGCCTGAAAATGCTTTACCCTAAGTGTCGCTTCATCATTCGCAGTGCTCCGTGAATCACAAGCGATGAACCCGGCCTGTCCCATCAGAACTTGATCTGATCTTTCTTCCAGTGAAGTTAGATCTCAAAGACCTCAGCTGGACGAGGTTGAGTGCCAGGAAGATCGAGCAAGCGCCGGCACCTCGGAAAAGAAAATCACTGAGCTCTAGGTTCAGTTTTTGGGTTCCACGTTGGATGTGATTTTGAGTAAATAGCTTGCCGTTCACAAAAATTTTAAATCACAGGTGATTTTAAAACGACCAGTTTGATTGAGGAGTGATGTATTAGTCTGGTCTGTAATGAGGTGCTTTTAATATGAAGGCAGCGTAGGTAATAATGTAAAGACACATCAGGTGCCAAGTATCTTACGACAGAAGCAGAAGGTCATTTCCTGGGCATTATGGGAAAAGCAGAGGGACACATCCAGATGCCAAGCAGAGGAAACGGCCACTTCATGCAGAAGTTTACAGACTAGGGAGCGACGGTGCTGCCTTTGCGCAGTGACTCCTGAGTGATGTTTGCACATGGGGTGGTTCATTTACCTGGGAGGTGCTTTTATGCGGAGCACTCCGCCAGACGTGCCTCCCAGCACGTTCTTCCTGTTCCTACCACGGAATATTTGCTGAAGTAATTCGAAAGGTCATATACTCAAGTGTAGCTGTAACTCATGCTCGTGTAATTAAGATCCCAGCACTTCAACAGCAAGTTGTACCTCTCTCTTCGTTAATTATATGCACTTCCTTAATTTCGTTATGCTTACTGATTTATCTGTAGGCATCCAGTATTTTTGCTTTGTCCATGTTTTGTTTCAGAGGGATTGTACTAATTAATTAATAGCAAGGCAGATATTGGGCAAAAACCTCCAAAAAACATTTATTTCCGTTTTACTTGTTTAGCAGATACTATTATCCAAAGCAACATGCGTTTGGAAAAGCAGGGTCAGTGACAGTCCCTGGAGAGCTTGGGAATTGGTGAGCAGAGTTTGGTAATTCAGGTCCTGAGAGTAAAAGTCCAGACCAAGATTTTGTTTCAACCAACCAGTTGAGCATAAAGAGTGTCAATCGCAGAGTATTCAACGGGTTGGTTGAAACAAAATCCTGGTCTGGACTCTCTGGACCTGAATTACCCAACTCTGTTGGTGACATCACTCTGCTGACATTGAGATTTGAGCCGGCAGACTTCCGATCATGAGGACATTGTCCTAACCTGCTGAGCCGCAAACCACCCCAGCTGTTTTTGTCCAAAGGGATGTATGAGAGCCAAGAGACCTGTGCTCTAGGCCACCTGACAGTGACGTTTTCACAGTGTCCGTTTTATAAGTGTCCTGCTCGCATGCTGACTTCCCTGGGTTTGTTATTTGTGTGGATCCCCATCTACTCGTTTTCAACTCAGTTCTTCACTCTCATTAGTGATTATAACTGTCTTGTTATGTGTGTTTTGTTATAGGACTAATGAACGTATTGGAATAGATGTGATTTAAGAGAATTCAGAACCATAAAAATAAAGACATGGCAATTAAGTTAATTAAAGTACCCCACATCTTCTGACGAGCTGAGGATTATTTAAAGTCATTCATTTCATTAAAGGAAAGAGGCAAACTTTTTATCAAGTGTGCTTTTAATTGGCCTATTGCTAATGTTAGGGACAATAAAATGATCCTATTGACTTTGTTATCTATGGAATAGGTTGTGACATTCGCCGGGTCGTTCTGCAGTAATGTGTTGGGGAATCAGAGCCTGCGGCTTCTCGGGCAGCGAGAGGAACGGAACTCCATCCACCCCAGAACCAGGGCAGCTGTGTGAAGGATGCTTTCTAAATGCTTAGACGTGACTGTCCCTCTTCTGAAACACATTTTACCAGAGATGGAAAGTTCAGGTCCAGAAAGTAAAAATCCAGACCAAGGTTTACTTCCAAACAACCAGTTGAGCACGCTGTGATTGTGATTCTTTATACACTACTGAATGTTTGTAACAAATTTTTGGTCTGGATTTTTACTTTCTGGACCTGGACTTTCCACCCCTGCATTAAAGCCACCTGCTGGTGTGTGTGTGCGTGTGTATTTGTGTGTGTGTGTGTGTGTGTGTGTGCGCGTGTGCATGCTCGTGCAAATTTCCGACAGGTGGGCAAGGAGTCACAGGTGATGAGAGTCAGAATGGAGCCGGATTTATTCAGTGAACAGGCAGAAATCCATGAGTGTGGTGGGGAACAGGGAGCGGGTCGGCAAGCCAGAGAGAAACATCTCTTCCCAGAGTGGGGGGCAGTGTGGGGGTGGAGACTCTGTTGCCAGTACGGGGGTGCCGGTCTCCGGGGCGACTGATGACTATTAATGTGGGGAGTGAAAGCATAATTTGTTCTCTTACCATCTACTTAATCTCTGTTTGAGGCAGTCAGCACCCCTCTGTCACAACCCAATGTGTGGTCGCTGACCACCGGCGCCGTGTTTGTACGCGGTGCATTCCAGATGGGCTTTTGCATCGCGGAGAGGGCTTAGTTTAAGGAAAGAATCGTGCCAGCAAGCAGAATTACCCAGAATGCACCAGGAAATAATGAATATTAAAATGAAGTCCTAGTAATGAAGTGATCAGTGAACAGGATGGCGATGGTTCTGCCGGCGTTACCCAGTGAGTCGTTGGTTCTGTGTGTGTTCTGACAGACACGCTGTACTGTTCTGCCCTTTCCATCAAATCCAGCTCACTCTTTATTAGCGAATTTACAAATACCAGCTACACATTACATAACGTGGGTTTTTGTTCTCTCGTCGAGACTATAATCCCAGGAAAAACTTCAAGATGGGGCATCAGTTGAAACTAAACTTGTATAAACCGGCTGTAAGAAGGAGGTAACTAGCTGTGTTAACCGGCGAGTGCCACCCTTTCCGAACGAGGGTGGCACTGAGACAGGACCTTCTGAGAGCTGCCCCCCCCTGCCCAGTGCAGACCTCTCATCACGATTTCCGCAGTAAAAATGAACCCATGCATTACGCTACCTGCTATTAAATGCCATTCAGTTCTGTTCATTTGCTGAAATGATGTCCTTCCTGTACGGTGGGCAGTGTGCTCAGTCCTTTAAATGTGTTTTTTCCCCTCTTGTTTTGCAGACCTGTTCCTCACGGTGGAGGATGGGTTCCAGACATGGATCAATCAGGTATAGTGCACGCCGCTCCCCACCCCCTCATCAGCAGCCCCACAAGGCTTCTCTCTCATTGGAGACATGCTGTGTTCTATATGTACCTTATATAAAAAGTTCTGTTTAAATCCTTCCATCCTTCCTCCAATTGCTTATTCTGGTCTGGGTTCCGGGGCGGGGGTGGGAACTCCCAGCGTACTCCCTGTTTGGGATTCTAGTCCATTGCAGGGCACATATGCATGCAGCCATGCATTATGGGTAATTTGGTGGTGCCAGTTTGGCAAACTGTGGGACGAGTACCTGAGGGAAGCCCTCCTGGAATAATATCCCTGGTACAGGCTCCATGCCCCCCTACGCGACCCGAACTGGGATAAATGTTCGGAAACTGGATTATAGCAAAATGCCTATAAATGGTTCACATTCACTTTCATGCAGCCTTTCGGGACGGTTTGGGAAGCAGTTTTGAGATTTTGCCGGTAATTAATATTTAAATGTGTGCCAACAGGGCTCAGAGTTCCTGAAAACTTGTTATTCGGCGTATGTAAATAGCGTTTGGTATGCGAATCTTAAGCACAGGGAAAATGGAAATCAATTATGTATTTGCAGAACTGAAAACGCATTAAATGGAAACACTGATAATTGTTCCGGGAGGATCCCCAGGCAGCCGTTAATCCGCACGCTGGGGGTGGGGGGCTGTGCATAAACTTAAAAATGCGGCGCCCCCGTGGCTCAATTAACATGCGGCGTGGCACACCCCCCTCCAGGTTCCTGTGCGCGGCGCGTGCATCCACATCGGTGTTTGTGCATGCATGCAATCCTGAGCCCCTATGTTGCTCCTACTCTTCGCCCCCCCCCCCCCCCCCACCCCCCTTGATTGATCCTGGCTCTGCATCAGCCTCCTTTTTAAAAATACGACACTGAATTGTGGGAAAACAGAGACTCCTGAATCTCAGCTCTTCTGGGCTCAAGGTTAACTCCAGTCTGGAAGTCTAAGACATAAAGATTATTTCTACGATGTCAATAGTCTCATTCCGGATATATTTTTAAGGTGTAGGGTGTGGCAGGGACAGTTTAGGACAGGCAAACTTTGGCAGCCAAACTTTGATGCCCATTTTCCAGTTGGGTACAATATAATGAAATTCCAGTAGCGTCCTCAGTTCATCCCAGTGCCTCCTCACTCTTGGCCATAACAGGTGCTCTTTCCCGTAAACGCAGTCTGGGACTCTCACTTCCTCCCTTTTTTTAATCGTGTTTCTTTTTCTTCTGCCGAAACCCTCTGAAGAATTGTCCAGGGTCTGATTAATGGAGGTCGGGTTTCTTTGATTAAATCCGAAAGGGCCAGCGGTGTGGGCCGCCATCGAGCAGAAGCACGCGGGCCTTTATCGCTCATCCGGGCGTCTGTGGCCACGCCGGTTCCTGCCGCCGCACGGCGGTGCTGCACCGCATGAGCAGGGAAGCGGCCGTTTGTCTCCCACGGCCGCCGTCTGTGATTCTGAGCTCTTATCAGACGCGGGCGTCACCGGGTCGCCATGGAAACACCGCTTCCCCGTCTGTTCACCAGGCCGGCGATGATGGATCGATGCGAGGTCTGCGATCTTACAGGAACGGGCGTTAAAACGGACCTGAATCCCCAAACCTAACCCCACAAAAGACACTCAGCTTTTGTCAGCGAGCCCCGGCTTCTGTGGGAGAATAGCGTTTTTAGTGAGGGGGTTGAGCGACACAGTAAATCTCTGCTGGTTGTCAGCAGGCTTCCTCGATCGCCCCCCCCCCCCCCCCCCCCCCCCATGAATCGTGCTCGACTCTGTTTCAGAAGCCCGCTGGGATATTTTTATAAGCAGGGGCGTCCATTAGGAATGCAGTGTGCAGGTGTTTTGTTGTTCAGCGTGCAGGGCAATGTGGGATTCGGTAAACAGAACTTCCAAAAGCATTTTATGCTTTTTAAATAATAGATAAAATGTCTATTGGCCTCTTTTTTGCAACTTAAGCTTTTGTTTACTTCTTTAAGTTTTGTTACATGGACCAATTCCTCACTCAGTTCACTTTCCTGTCGTAAGAAAAGTCCTTTCCGGGTCTGGGTTGGGAAGCTCAGACCTTGAATGAGTTTGTATGTTGGGTGCACAGTCAAAGAGCGATAAGTCAGGGCAGGCTGTTCGGTGTTGACGTCGGGATCTCCTGGAGGAGCCGCGGGAGATAAGCAGATGAGCTTAATTGCTGTCGTTCCCGGACCGGTCCACATTCCGCTGCCCCCCCCCCCCNCCCCCCCCCCCCCGCCACACCAGAAGGGTGGCAAGATAAGCAGGAGAAGCAGGAAAGTTTGTGCCTCCCTCCTGATTTCGTTTTTCCCAGCCTAATTTTTCAGTTTGTTGCAACTTTTATTTGGAAATGTGTTCCTGGAGAGAGCCGGGGGGGCGGATGTGGTTGGAGCTTCTAGTGAACATTGCAGTATAGATAAAAGGGGTTAGACTTGGAATAGGCTGAAATTTCACCTCTGACTGTGTGTTGTTTTTGCATGGGGTAAGTTGGTTGGTTGGTTGGTTGGTGTCGGTGTTTGATGGGGTCTCGTGCTACTGTCCCTTTAAGACCTCATGGTAAAAGGCACATGGTTCAGATTTCCTCCCGCACCAGGTACAGTAGAGAAATGGCAGTGGACTTGTCCATGGCTTTGCAGTCTGCCTGAGTTTGACACGGAGAAGTTTGGCCGTCTTCCCGTCCACCGCTGAGGGTCAATCACTCCGTTCTTCACTCTGTGACCCCCCTCCCCCCTCGCGCCCTGACTCTCAGCATCTGAAGGACAGTCCCCAGGTGCGCTATCCTCCCCCCGGGGCTCCTCCTTGTACTAAGCGGAAGAGGAGAGGCAGAGGTTACCTCTCCCAGCATGGGAGTGGGCGGTCCTTAAATAATTTCATCCAACCATCCATCTTCCAACTGCTTATCTCTGTCAGGCAGCCTATCACAGGCAGTGTAGAGGACAAAGAAGTCAGTCATAAGCATTGCCCATCCATACATCCATCCAGTCATCATCTAATCACTTATATCGGTCATGGTCGTGAGAGACCTGGAACCTATCCGAGATGCACCCTGGACAGGATGCCAGTCAAACTCATTATAATTCCATTTCACATTGACGTTGAGCTCCATATGTGAAATAGTTTGTGGGTTTATTCTTCTTCCATATCTGTTTACTGAAAGACGCGACTGTCCCTCAGGGCCCTCAGATACAGGGTGACACCCGTCCAGGAATCCAGGGGACCAGGAACAGAGCTTCCATAACCCCGTCGTTGTGCCTTAAGGCTCAGCTTCCTTATTTCTGTATCCTGCCGGACTCGCAAGCGTGCGAGTGTTGGCTTGTGAGCCTGGCTTTAACATAGCGATAGCGCAAGATAGCCTCCCATCAGCACACATCACAGCAGGCCGCTGCGTGTGACAGGCAGGACGTGTCACCCTGACAGCCGACGAGCGCTGACATGTTATCCCAAAGCGTCACTGTGTTCCCTCCGGTTCCTCAGTAGAGGGAGTAAGACCGTCGATCAGTCGGTAACAGGCTATGGGCTATGGGCTATGGGTTATGTCACATGTTAAATATGGAAATGTGCCCTGTGGTTAATACGGTAATAGTGAAACGTGAGAGACTGCCGTTTGGGGAGTGTAATTTTTATAATTTATAATTAGTTTATAATTTAATCATTTTATAATTATAAAATTTTATCATTTTTTTGGTAATTCATAATATTTATGTTTAATGGGACATAACTATTCCAGTTTAACAAAAGTTCAGCTGGACTGTTTGCTTTGAATTAGTGCTAAATGATTTAACCTACATTTCCCAGACAAGGAAAAATGGTATCGCAGCTTACTTTCTTAATTACAGTGGTTTGCTTTTGAATGTCAGTCTGTATTAATTCCTGTACAGTGTGAAATAAATATTCATATTGAGTGGGTGTTTTTCTTTTTTTGAAAAAGGAAAATCACGTGACCTTTTGGTTGAGAGAGCATATCTGAATGAAGGGATGTTATTTAATCTCTAGTTCGCTGAATGTATGAATGAGCTCTCAGAAGGTGGGTGGGTGAGGTTAGAAGCGGGACCGATGACAGCTCTGTCCAGCAGGAATCCCATTCCGATGGGGACGTTGCCTTGCCCAGGTTTAAGCCGAAACCCTGGTACTGTGAGGTAAAAACCTAAAGCCACAGAGCCCGTCACGGGTACATGTCTGCTTGCGTATGCGTGTGCATTGGCTCCTATAATGTGCCATAAACACGAAGATACATGCAGCCTTCGTCACTCTGGCTTTGCTTTTCCTCCTTGCCTTCACACAACAGACACGTGCCATTGATGATTCAGGCCGAGTTCCACCCAGGGTGCCTATCAATCCGGAAACTTCAGTGTCCCAGAGCATTAAAGGAGAAGAACGGGGAGGGAAAAAAACTTGCACGTACAGCCAGTGACTCTTTCTGTGCCTCTCGAACCGCCGTCGGGATTTCCAGCCGTCGAACCCGGCAAGGCTTCCGTGACATCACCACGTTCTCCCCCTTCGCTACGCGGCCCTCCATGCTGACTATCACGACAGGCGATCCTTCCAAGAGGACGGGGAGATTTACCGCGCCCGAGATAAGCATCCTGATACTTTGGCGATCAGCGCACGTCAGTAATCGCTGATCATCAGTCAGCAGTGAGCCACCGTTCCATTTGTTAGAAATATTTTAAGTACCGTCTCTCAGCAGATGACTGAGCTGGGGATTTTCGGGGCTGGATTCGCCGCTCGCTCCCGCGGGCTGAGATAATTGATTTGAGCTTTGCCCTCCCCCCCTGCTGTTTTCTGCTTGCAACTCAGCAGCGTCATGTTGCAGTCAGCGGGAGCACCCCCCGCCCCCCCCCCATGGTGCACCCCCCCCCCCCCCGGCCACTGAGCCCTGCCTCCCCATCAAACAACAAGGACCATTCAGCAGACACAACCCCCTCCCTACCACCCTAATTGCTGACCCAACATCCTCCAAGCTTAAAATCTGCAACTGTAAAATCCATAGATGTAGATCAGCCAGCATCGCTTCTCCCTCAGCTAGCAAAGGGCCTGACCTCAAGACCAGCCCGTTCCTCAGAACAGCTTCTAGTGAAGCCTGGTCATGCCTGGGGGTGACTCCGCGCCTCTTTGCGTAGCCCCTGCCTGCTGGTATTCCTGCGGACCGTGCTGTGGTCTTTCTCGCTCTGTCTGTGACACCGCCGGCCCGCTGTAATCAGGAGGAACCCTGAAGACCTCGGCGTTCAGCGAGTACTGGGCCAAGCGGGTCGAGGGCTCATTCACCGCTATTTATAACTCACCATTACTGGTGTTCTGTTTCACTGAATAGGGCAGGCAGCCTTTGTGTGCTGTACGCACTGCCGGCTTTGACGCCTCTCGTCACAAAGATGTGATGTAACATCAGTGAAGTTTCCCCACGGCTCGCTGGTCGCTGGGCCCCCGGTTATCCGGCCTAGACCCCCACTGGATTTCACCCTCCCAACAGACGCCGTTCGGTCCCTGTCAGGCCGGAGCTTCGGCCACCGTGAGGCGCTAACAGGTCCGCATCGGGGGCGAGTGTGCAGCTTGTATCAGGACAGCTCACAGATATTTTCCAAATCATTTAGCCAGAAATGGTTGTATATAGAAGAGCAGACTAATAATTCAGCTGGTCGGCCAGTGAGGGGGGGGGGGATCGTGTCTGTGTGTGTGTCTGTGCATGGGGTTTGCGTTTTCTCCAACAGTCCAAAGACAAGCAAATGGGTAAATTGGCTTCTCTGTGTGGTTGTGTGCCTGACTGTGATCCTTGTAGTGGACTGACATGCCTTTGAGGGTGTTTTCCATTCTTGTGCTCAGTGCTGCCCTCTACAGGCTCCAGGCTTGCCATGACGCTGCCCAGGATGAGCAATTATGGATGGATGGATGGAATATACTAACAGCTCCGTGTTATTGCGCATGTTAGACACCATTTCTGTGTGCCATTAATGACGCTTGTGTAAGGAGAATCCTGCATGTGTTGAATATATATTTTTCAACCCGATTCCATGTGATCAAAGCTTTCATGCATCCTCACCCCCGGAAGGGCAGGTGCAGTGACGCGGCCTGCAGCGGCAGCTAGATTAAACCCGGCTCCCGCGCGGTATCTGTTACCCGCGAGATGAAAGGGACGGGGACACCAGTATGAGGCGCGGGGCTGTTTTTGGTAAAGCCCAGTGACAGAAGAAGAGGCGTTCCAGGGATTGTACAGAGCCGGCGGACGGATCGAAATGCAAACAGGCGCCTTTCTGCGTGAGCGCTCTGCGCGTGATCCGCGCTTTGTCTGTGAGGTTTGACTATGGTGCCTCTTATCCGCTTTTGGTAACTGCGCGTGTGCTCCTATTGGATTTTAAAAGGTTTATTTCTGTCTTCTTATGCCATAAAGGTGTTTTTATAGCCATAGCATGACGGCGTGTGTCCTGGACATTAACTTCAACTTCCTGGCTTAATCGCCTCACTCCAGCTTAGAGACGTCTTCGCTGATGTTCCCTTTGTGTTCCTCCAGAACGGAAACTTCACCAAAAGCTGGAAGACCAGCCTCCCAGATGGCGTGAAGGTCATCGGCCAGTCTGCTTTCGTGGACTTTGGTGAGACACTCTTGCTCTGTTTTCTTTATTATTTTAGTGTTTTGACTCCCTTTTCCATCTGTCACTTTCCAGTGTGCACGTGTGAATGAATCTGTCCAAGAGCGTGTCCATGTTCACGATGAAGCAGGTCAAGGATCCTGATTGGCTGACAGGTGTCGCACTGGCACTAGTCATTAAAGAGCCTTAAATGTAGGCAACTCGACACGCACCGGAGATTCGGCTTAGTCTCCGGCTTCCTGCAGGAACGGTTATTACTCCCGCATTTCGTCCCCCACCTGTCCCCCCCCCCCCCCCCCCCCCCCCCCCCCATGAATC